CGAACATAATTAATTAATGAAAACTTCTGGTATTTATACCAATTATATCGGAAGGAAACCCGATTTCTTAAACAAAGGAAAAGGAAAAAGAATTTATCAATTTAGACAAATTTAGACAATTGTCGAAAGATGTCTTAGACAGAAAAATAGAAAAATGAAGAAAGACAAAAGACTTAGTCTTTTGATTACAAAATTGGTGAGAAACAAAAAATGAAAAATGTGTAATGCACAAGGGATTCTAATCTTAGTTTAAAACTTTTAACTCTTAATAATCAACCTTGTGATAAATGATTAAATGATTTAATTTGGTTTTGGGTAACTCTACCCTTCATGTAAATTATGTCCCAATCTAACTAAAAAATCGAATTTGATAAATTTATAGTATTTAAATACAATTAAACTTATTGTAGTCGTCCTAAAGTTTTCATCCAGAATAAATTTTATCATTTTTATTGCATTTAGATCACTACACGAAATAAAACCTGAAGCTCACTATCTTTTTTGTCACCAATTCAAGGTAATCATGAGTTAAAACAGAGAATTAAGTTTTGTAGATCGATTTATATCTTACAATTGTTAGTTAGTTGAATCTATTTATGATTAATCATCAATAAAAACATTGAATGATTTTATTCAATCAAATAAAAACAACTCATAAGCGCCATCTGTGAGATAAAACTCTTTATTTTATTATGTTGCTAAAGTGATTATCTGTTTAGGTCTAAAGGTCGGTTGAACTTATTCATTCCTATTTTTTCCCTTTTTATTCATTCCTTTATATTCGTTCGCACTTATTATTCAGTTCACTGTCCCTATTCAATTAATTAAATATGTTACGATACAGCTTACTTCGTTCAGTTAACAGTGGATCCTTTAAAACCTCTGTTTCATCCAACCTTCCGTCATCTTTTGCAGCTGGAAATGTTTCAAGCCGTCAACAACGGTCTGCATCAACATCAGGACCAGGAAGTAATATTGTCCTGGTTGATGGTGTTCGGACACCTTTCGCAGTTTCATTCACTGATTATAAAAATATGATGGGATATGAATTACAGAAGCATGCAGTCTTGTGAGTTTAAATGTTTATATTTCATGAAAATATTTCCGTCAAAATCCCAAATTTCTCCTTTTATTTTCTTTCAAGTTTCAATACTAAAACATTCTTTCGCCGTTCTTTCTACTCAATAGGTCTTTGATAAGGAAAACTGGCATAAATAAAGAAGAAGTCCAATACATTGTTTGTGGCTGTGTTATAGCTGAGCCCAAAACTTGCAATGTTGCTCGAGAAGTTGTTTTAACTGGTGGCTTACCTTTGAACATACCTGCTCATACAGTTACTCAAGCTTGTATATCTGCTAATCAAGCTATTACCACAGGTAATAATAGATGAAAAGTGCAGTGAACGCAATTTGTACTGGATTGACATTAATCTTGTTTTTAATATTTCTTAGCTATTGGTTACATAAATAGTGGTATTGTAGATGTTGCCATAGCCGGTGGTGTTGAATATTTGACAGATGTTCCCATCAGATACAGTCGGGAAATGAGACAGTTAATGTTGGCTGCTAACAAAGTCAAGAAGCCGGCTCAATACCTATCTTTGCTTTCGAAGTTTAAACTGAAATACTTAGCACCTGAGGTAAGAATAGTCAAAATGGTAGTTTGAAATGTCATCTTACTTATCCTATTTATTTTCATTTAAGCTACCCGCAATCGCTGAATTTACTACTAATGAGGTTATGGGACACTCCGGTGATCGTTTAGCTGCTGCATTTAAGGTAACTCGCCAAGAACAAGATGAATTTGCGTTTAGATCACACTCTTCTGCTGATAAAGCTCAAAAAGCTGGTTTCTTAGACGATGTTGTGCCAATCAACGTAGCAAAAGGTCGCGTTGAGAAAGATAACGGAATCAGAGTATCAAGTCTCCAAGATATGGCTAAGCTAAAACCAGCCTTTATCAAACCACACGGAACTGTTACCGCAGCCAACTCGTCATTTTTGGTTAGTCAATAATATTTCATGTATTTCAAATTATTCTTCGACTAAAACTTTATCTTTATTGCAGACTGATGGAGCTTCTGCTTGTCTAATTATGACTGAGGCCAAGGCTAAGAAACTAGGACTCAAACCAAAGGCATACTTGAGACATGCTGTTTATACCTCGCAAGACCCAAAAGATCAACTTCTCCTTGGGTAATTAGTTTTATATCTTTATGGATTTTTAGTACAATTTTTTTGAACTTTTCTTTTGTCTCTCTTTCAGACCAGCTTACTCAATTCCTAAAGTCTTGGAAAAATCTGGACTCAGCCTTAAGGATATCGATGTCTTTGAACTTCATGAAGCTTTTGCTGGACAAGTTTTAGCTAACCTGAAAGCTATGGACAGTGACTTTTTCGCTCGTAATTACTTAGGAAGATCTGAAAAAGTAGGAGCAATTCCAATGGATAAGCTCAATAACTGGGGAGGTTCATTATCCCTTGGCCATCCTTTTGGTGCAACTGGTGTACGATTAGTAACAATGGCTGCAAATAGATTAATTAAGGAAGGAGGCAAATATGGAGTTGTTGCTGCTTGTGCAGCTGGAGGACTGGTAAGATAATCTCGTTTTCACGGTTTGCTCAGTTAAAATGAATAATTTTAACCTTTTATCATTTTTTTCTCTACAGGGCCATGGAATGCTTATTGAACGTTATCCTAACTAATCGTGATAAATTGAGAAATTTCTAAAAATTTTTCTATACCTGCAAAAAATCGATTCTTTATAAAAGAAGTTTCTATATTTTTACAAATTATTCACCTAAATACATCCATAAATTGTTCAAATAATAACTTGTTTGTCAATTCTTTCTCTCAAATAAGTTTTTATTGAGTTTGTTCTAGGTTCTCATAAACTGTTGAGTAATGCCTGTTCAGAGTCTAGAGTCTCTTCCTTGGACTTTGAATTTTAATCATTCTCGACAACTTGAACCCAACCGATAAAATACTTTGAAAGAGCAAATCTTTGATGATGCTGATTGTCAAAATTACGAAGATAAAAATTATCATTTCATTACCAAGAAATAAATAAATATGATAGCAATAAATTATTGCTGAAACAGTTATTTTCTAAGCTAATGACTTGAAATTTTGATTGGTAGGTAAATGAACACAAAATGTTGCAAAATTGATTGCAATTTGGATATGAAAGAAGTAGCGAGTAATTTAAAAATTGCGATGATTAAATGTTCCGATACAGCTTTAGTAAATTTTGAAATGGTAGAATCTACATGAATTAAGAAAGATAAATATGAATTAGACTTATTCGTGTATTTGTCCTCTAATCAACAGGACTTCAGGTAAATCTAAGATACTAAAATTTAGACTAAAATGACTTTGTAGGCTTCAGGCTGACCAAATCAGACTGATTAAAATTCTGGGTAAACAATTTCACTAAACTGTAGCACAACTGTAATTACTAATTACTGTGTGATTGAATCAGCAGCATCTATCGTTTGAAACATAAACCAATAAATATATGAATTGAACATATGGATGAAACATTAAGATAGTCACATGGTTACCATTCAAAGTTTCATCACATGTTAGTTTTATGACAATTATTGCTTGACCTTGTAATATAATTGTACGTTATGATTGTCGGGCCATTCAGAAGGATACTTGAAAGCTCATCAAAACTGCTAAAAGCTAATTTTTGTGTAAAAACGGAAAACATCATTGACGAGCTTAAAAGCAGCTATGATAGTCTTACTCTTGATGATTTTGCCAAAACACTGAGAAGTCTAAGCTGTTTCGATGATGTCGATAAAACAAATGTTGCAGACTTTATTACACATTTTGAATCCACATCTAGATTTGATGAGCTTGTCGCCTCGCCTGTGCATGCTGCCTCCATCCTACAAAGTGCATTAACATTGGAGATTTGCCCTGAAAAACTCATCAATTCAGTAATTCAAGAAGACTTCATCATAAAATTTCCAGGTAATTTTGAGTTTTTAATTGATATAACTTTTGACTAACCCTTCTTACGTCCTTACCTTCCAGATGATCAATGGCAACTTAAAGCGTTACTTGCTGTGAAGGATACCTTAGCGATTGAATATCATGACAAGTACGGTGAAAGGATTAGGCAACTGGATGAACTGATCAAAGCCAAAAAGTCATTTAAACGATGGTCAATGGAACAGCTTCTACCCATGAAACCAATTGATCAAAGCTATTCTCAAAAGCTGTCAGTTTTAATTTACCTCGCTTGTAGAGAGTATTATCCAAAACAAACAATTTCTCGCCATATTCTTTCATTTTGTGTTTCTCCTGAGATTATCATCTGTAATACGAGATTCAATCCAATCATGACGGACAAGGAAATTGAAGTCGCACCCAATGTAATCAAAGATGCAACCATTATTCGTCGATTCAAAGATAATAATAACAAAGAGTTTATCAGTGATCTCAAGCTAAGAAATAGGTTGCTGGAAAAAATGGGTTTCAAAATATTTACAACAGAACCATTGCGAATCAACAGGAAAAGTACTTTCAATTATTTCAGAAAATCGCTTCCCATTAAAGTTGATGGTTGAACTGATCAATATTGTATTTAGTTTTTAGACATTTTATGGTCAAAAGAAGATGTTTATATGTTTAAATTATGTATTATAACTTTATTGAGAAGGTTTTATTTTTTCAACCAAAAGAATTCATTACATGTAAAAATGTAGATTTTTCACTTGAAAAGGTAATTTGCATAATATAAATATTGAATTAAGATGAAAATGTATTTAAATAGTTGTTAACAAACAATCTTATTAGAAAATTCAATGGCAATTTGAATCAGTTGACTCATTTGTCCTAATTCATCTTCATTTTGCTTGTTTACTAATATTTGAGCTTAAAAAAAGAGCTTAAGCTAAAATTTATGCTCTGATTAACTGTTTTTGTCTGTTAACAATTGTTTAAATGCATTGAATAAATAATTGCTTGTTGTGCAATGTGATTAATAATTATATAAGAAAAAATAAATCAATTATAATTAAATGATTTCATACGTTTTTTTGGTAACAAACCAAAATTTGAACCAGAAAATGAAATAAAAAATGAGATTGTGAATATTTTTGTATAAAATATTAATCTTGATCATCAACCGATCCATGATTGGGTTTATCAAGGTTTTTATGTTGATAAAAGACTAAACTTAACCGGTTCGGTTGAAGTCTGTTTGGATGTCGAAGTGGCGTTGTTGAGTGCATCTCGTGCTTTGCACATTCAATCAAGATTGAACCATGTTCCAGAGCAATTCCAACACCTCCCATCCTAGGATCAAGACATGAATCTTCATTATCCGATTCAAACTGGTAAATGTAACCTTTATGGTTTGGATCCTTCAACTGGTTCTCAGCAGGGAAACGAAGAACGGGTTTATTTTGCGTCGAAAAGATTGATACACTTTTACCATTGGTTGACCTGGGACCAGCTGAAGATGACCCTTTGTTGTCTGTATTCCGTTTCTCCGGAAATGATCGTCTTAACGTTTTCTTTTTCAATCGCTGGCATTTCCGTCGAGACAAAAGAGGTGTGCTTCGAAGTCGCTTGAGAACAGGAAATTTGGTCAATATTTGCAATCCATTGGCTTTAGCCCTTCCCTTCAGGTCAACAAGGTAACAAGGTAAAACATGATATTGGCTTTCCTTGTTACCAGTTGATAGCCATTGATTAATTGGATTACGAAGAAGGTTAACAACAGCAGTTATATCATTTTGAACATTGTGATTATCTCGATGGTTGTGAGCAACAAAATCAAGGCAAGCAGTAACAGATGAAAATGGCCTTTCAGGATCCAATCCAATCCTACACGATGAACCTTCACCCGATTTAACCAGTTGACTGAAAGCCTCTGGGATCAGCTTTTTACATGTTTGACCAACATGAGAAGCCATTTTATTCAATTGATATTCCAATTCTGGTTCCTAATAACAATCAAAATAGACATTGATTAATTAGTAAAATGTACACTCAAGGATTTACTGGTAATCTTTCAAAACAAAAGCTGAAGGTTGCTTTCAATAATCAATAAACTATTGAGTTTTTAGCTGAACAAGAAGCAAAAGCAGCGCAGAAAAAAAACAATTAAACGAAATGCGATTAATTTTCCAATGAATTGTTCATTCAATGATTGAAAAGATAATCAATTGAGTGTAAAACTGAATCTCAATTTCGTTGTAATCACTTTTTGCTTGCAAAACCCAAATAATAAACAAATGTGAAAATTTAGTATTGAAATGGCTTCAAAACCATTGAATAGCAATGGTAAACAATTGAAGTTGTCGATGAAACAAAATGGCTTCTAATTAAGCATCCTTTTTACAGTTGGTTAAATTAACTTGAAATACACCAAATTTGGGTTTATTGTTTGATTATTTATGGTTAGGCAAAAATTGGAAGCAAAAATTGACCAGAAAAAATAGGAAACACACAAAATAAAAGATATTACTTTTAACTAAACAACATTAAGTAAAGATGAAAAGAAGCAAGTCGTGGACTCATTAATTCATTTATAAACCAATCAACTTGAATCATTAATCTTAATCAACTGCACGACTGGAGTAATGGTTTATCCTTCAAGTTAAATTGTTATTATTGTATCAAAAAATAAAAAATAAAACTTGAAATGGTTCAGAAAGAAGAAGATGAACAAAAAATTGAAAATTCCTTCCGTTGTGAGGTCAATAAAACAAGGTACATAAGAAGCGCAAAAAATGACTGCCCTTCAAAAATCAATGAACATGCAAAACAAGTTTAACATTATGGTTACCAAATTGTCCGAATGTATGATTTAGTAAGGAAAAGGTCAACATTTCTGTCAACATTGGGTAACATTGGTTAATCAATAGATGCACTAATTCAACATGAATATTTAGATGTAAAAATGAACAGAATGGCGATGAAAAATTGGATGAAAAGCTGCATCGCCTAAAGTAATAGTCATCTTATTAACCTCAATTTATTGAATATCTTTTCCCAGTTAGGTCAAAATTAGCCTATTGTTCAGATAAATTGACAATTCATTGATTAATTGTTGACTTACAAATTCAACATTTACATTTGATTTACTTTGAAATGAACATTTTGAGCAAAATTTTCTTCTTTTAGATTCTCACTGAAAAACCTTTTGTTAACTGATCATGAAAAATGTCTCAACCTTTCATCATCTTCTTAATCAACAATTTAATTTGCTGTTAAGCAAGTTAATTAATTGGTTAATTAATATTAGGCTTAACTGTTGGGAGACGGCAACAAATTGAGTAAAAGTTAATCATTTGCTGATTTGTTTTCTTGTTTCAGCTTAAATTGGATTCTCAATTCAATTTGATTATCATTATTGGAGTAATAATTACATTGGAACAAAAAGTAACCATGAAAAGAAGAAGAAGAGGAAAAATGAAAACGAAAAAACCGGTTATTCGAATTTGAAAAGTGAATAAAAATGTGATTAACAACAATTTGAATGTTAATTAAAGTTGTAAATCAAGTTTGGAATGTAATTGTTGATTTAATAAATAAAAAAAAAGGTTGACTGTGAACAACTTCCGTTGAAATGGCTGCTAAATGTCAATTAAATGTTAAAAAGGTGACACAAAATGCAACCTCACAATGTTGACCATTTAAATTGATTTTGTTTGGTCATTTCCTGTCCTTACCTGACCAGACCCATAGATGGATGCAAAAAGCAACTCTAAAAAGTGGACTTTTATTGTTCACTGTTGCCAAGATTAACAATAAGATTAACAATGGATAGAGTTAAGGATGAAAAGTGTTTCATTAATAATAATCGTTTTTCATCCTGTTTATTCAAAGGGATCAAACGGAAATTGATTCAATGGCAAATGTTAATCAATCAACTAAACCAAACAATCAGTAAATTGTTGAATATCATTTTTGTTTCAAACCGATTCTGGTTAAACTGTAACATTGAAGTCCAGAGAAGCCAATGTTTACCAATTGTTTCAACTTCATTTCCCATTTACTTTTTTCTGGTTTTCTGGTTTCGATCAAAATCTATAAAAATTTAAAACTAGATATCATTAATTGACAATCAAATAAACCAAAAAATCAATTAATTGTTGAATAATTTTTGTTTCAATATCGACTGTTAAACATTCAAAACGATTCTGGTTAAACTGAAACACTGAAGACCAGAAAAGCCAATGTTTACCAATTGTTTTAGCTTTATTTGTTATTTAATTTTTCTGGTTTTCTGGTTTTTGTCAAAATTTTATCAAAAGTGGAAACTGAAAGCTATTAATTGACAATAAACAATTAACCAAAACAATTAATAAATTGCTGAATGTCATTTTTGTTTGAAAACGATTCTGGTTAAACTGCAACATTGAGACCAGAAGAGTCAATGTTTACCAATTGTTTTAGTTTCATTTGTTTTTACATTTTTTCTGGTTTTCTGGTTTTGATCAACATTTTATAAAAGTTGAAACTAGAAGCTATTAATTAGCAATTAACTTGACCTGGTTAATTGAAATAATTGGCTTTCAACTGAATCAAGTTTCTTCTTCAATTTATTTTTCTTTTACTCGATTCAATGTTTAGATACTTTGTAACACCTTGATGTTATTACTGTTACTTTTGTCAATTGTAATCAATTAATTGCAATTGTTTCACCTGATGTTTAACTAGAAACCAGGTGAATACATATTTGACTGGAAAAAGTTGAAAATTAAATTGCTTGACAAACGAATCAATCAAACAACAAAGAAGAGAAAAGTGAAACTCAAATTGTAATGTTATTTACATTTTCAATAATTAACCCAAATTGTTGAGGTAAAAGGTAATTAACAGTGGAAGGCAGAAAAGCAAACATGAATTAAACCTAGACAAATGGTGAAGAATGAGAATGAAAAGATGAAAAAATAAAGCAAAATGTCATTTAATGTGAAACACAGGCAAAATGGTAATGATCATTAGTAAACTAATTAAAAATGGGTAAAAGTACAGGAAAACTGATGAATAATTAACAGAGCAATTTGATTGATTACCAATTGAATTATTGTAATTGAGTGAAAATGCTTTTTCTCCAGCTTCTTCTTCTTGGTCCTTTTTATTACCAATTGATAAGGAAAGATTTGTTGATTGTTGAAGCAAATCAGTAAATTATTAGAGTTAAAAGACAATTGATCAACAATTGTGAATTGAAGTGAAATGAATGAAATCCATAATTTTTTATTCTCGTGATTGTTGTTTTTTACTGTCAAAATGAATTGTGAAAAGCTAAATGGTTGATCAACTGATTCCTCAACTGGAAACAAAATGATTATCATTATTATTATTATTATTGGTAACAGTTTAACGTTTGAAAAAGATGATGATGATGATGATGATGGAAATGAAGGAAACATGTGAAACAGTTGATCACCTTAAAGCTATTGATGCTCAACGGATTGAGCCTAAAGTTGATCTGTATTCAAGTTAATATTGTTTGATGACAAAATTATCATTATTATAATGATCACTGTTATGATCATATTTAGTCTATTGGACTGTAAACTTCATTAAGGATTAAGGCTTATTATTAACAGAGATAATTGTTGAGTAAAATGATTGTAATCATCATTTTTGCAAGGTTACCTTTTCAATGGATAATTAATAATTTGTTTCAATTTCAATTTTGCGAACACCAAGAAACTGGTTTAGGTTGACTCTGAGAATGAGACACTTTTTGTGTGTCTTGTTCAAATCTGATGTTCAATTGATTTCAATTTTTAGCCTCATTTTGGTGTTTAGTTTCTTGACAATTAACCGATCATCAGCTTTAATCAAGGTTGAACCTTTGTTAATTGTTGCCTCTTCACATAATCACATTTTGATCACGTTCAAAGGCTTGCAACCATTTTATATATTTTTGCCTTTCCTTTGCTTTTCACAATGAAAAATGAATGGTGAAATGAAATGCTTGAAATATCATATTTCCTCATTTTCATTGAACCATTCAAATCACCAAAAAAAATGTAATAAATGGATAAAGTTTCTTTCATCTTTGTTAATAATAATTGTAAAGTTAACATTAATATTCATGTGATCCTCTCAATTGTCTTGGATCATCATCGCTTCATTTTTGGTGTTTTTTTCTTCTTCTTCTTCAATATTCTCTGAAAAATGTTCATTTGTTGATTCATGATGAAAAAAAAGTGAAATTAAAAGCTTTAAATTGTGACCATTTAAGGTTAACTGTTAATCAATAAGACTTGCATTTTTGGCAACTTGACAGTTTATTAATATTGAAGTGGAAAAATGTTTCAACTGGTAACTCGATTGAAACCAAATTTTTTAATCTAACACACTTAGACTAATTTAATCTGGATTAAAGCCAACAATTTAAGAGATTTAACCTTTTGCAAATCAACAGTTAAGTGACAAAAAAAGACATTAATTGGAGATTCATTTTGTTCATTGCTTTTCTGCTTCTTCCACATTCGGACTATTGATTAAAAATGTTTATTATAATGGTTACTCTGTTGACGTACATATTGACCTTAATATCTAAATTGTTCAAGTCTAATGACGATAATCACAGAGGCAAATTAAAAACACATTAACCAAGTAATTGGAGACTTGTTTTCATCTTGCAATGATCAATAGGAAAGGTTAAAGTTGAACATAAATATTTCAATCTTATTTGAGCATCTTTTTAGGTCGATTCAATGTCCGGCCGGTAATAATTAGACTTGACCCAATCAACTGATCAAAGTGAATAAATTAGATTCAAATGTTTTTTGTTGACCTGAAATGGTTTAAACATTTCTTGCCTTCCAAATCAATCAATTGTCATGTAATGATCAGTAAGGAACAGTGGAAAAGACTGAAAATTGTGATAAAAACAATTGAACCTGATTAATGGTGTTCATCTTTGATGGCAATTAATGCAACTTGAAATTGGAAACAATTATTGCTGCGACCATTAAACATCATTTATGATCACTTGACTAATCACAACAATTTAATAACTAATAAACAATTAAATGTCATTCACAGTGAATATTGACAGGCAACATGGTTAAAGGTTTGCTCATGAAAAGGCATTAATTAAATCAATAATTGAAACGGAAAGAGAAGCAAGAAAAGGCAGCAAAAAAAAGTTAAACGGAAAAGACAATTTGATTGAACACAAAACGAACCTTATGTTGCACTGAAAATCCGTTAACAATGTACAGATGGTTAACATTTTTTGCTTCATTTTTACGGTTAAATGTTATTGTACCTGAAGTTAGTTACAGTTGATAATGACATTTAAAACTGTCAACTCAACAATATTGACCCATGTCACCAGAGTTTACCTTAAATTGATTGATTATTTTCATTCATGTTCATCCGCCATTTTACAGTGAAAATCAAGTGCAAATAATGTCCATTGATTAAACATTTTCTGGTTCAATTCTGGTTTTCATTTCACTAATAATTTGGATTAATCACATTTAATAAATAAAAGAAGCAAACAAAAAAAGAGATTCCTTTTTGGCCCTTTTTAACCCAAAAAACACATTCAACTATTCAAGTCCATCTTTTTGTTCCCACAGATTTGATTTGCACGAAATTGCGTGCTAAATAATAGCTACAATCAAAGCCAATATTATCAATTGTTCAAAGCTCATGAATTACGTTGTAATTTAATTGTTGCCTTATTTGCTATTCTGTCAGTAACATCTCATCATTAGTAAATTTTAAAGCATCAATTGAACGAAATCACCGCAAATTCAGTTTTTGCTCAGTATTGCCAGTCTGTAACAGTTTAATCAATGGTGAACAAGATGAATTATCATGATGAATCACGAATAATTTTGTCATTAAAAGTGAATTTCAATTTTGCTCTTTAAATCGATGAAATTTCCATTAATTTTGCTTCTCCTTCCCAAACTGATTGTCCCACTAAAGTGTTTCAAATTTGCCAATGATTAAGCAAATTGATTTTACTTATTGTATTGCTGTTGCTGCAGCTTTAATTGCTTCTAATTGTTTACATTTAAATTGTGATAGAGCAATAATTATTGATTGGTTCACACAAATCAATCGATAAACATTGGTCTCATTTCTGCTTCTCTTTCCCATTTAATAATATTAATGGTATGCTATGGGTAAATTGAACATCATCAATCAATGTTCATGTTAACTTGGATATAAAAATCGTTTTAATAGTAAAAAAAAGAGAAGAAATAAATTACTTTGATTAATTATCATTAAATTATTATTCAATGCAATGTTTTCCAACTGATTCTGGTGTTGATTGAACAGCTAAATACTTTGTATTCAATTGAATTGGTCAACAGTTTTTGTTTCAATTTTAAGCTTTTCATCAAATTCAATTGAATGGGAAAACGTTTACATTAAAATTTATCAATCAACGTCATTTTCAAACAAATCATGAAAACGATTATTCAATAAGAGAAACTCTGAAATGATTGAAATTTAATTATCAAATTATTGAGAGAAGTAGAGAAAAAAGCTTTTTGCAAGCTTGAATGTTGAATATGAACAAGTTTTCATGATTCGTGATTGACCTTCGACCGAATCACCGGCAGCTTCGAAAGGTTATAATAATAAAGTTTAAGGTCTCATCGTCATCATCATTATCAACATCATCATCTTCTGACCAATTCTGATCACTGATATTTTTGTTTTTCTTCTCATTCTAATTCAGGATAACAACCAGCAATCCATGTCACGATTTTATTTCTTACCTTGTTTCACTCTCTACCATCTTTGTGCCCAGGTAAACCGTGCAAATTATTGGTCCACAAAACATTGTAAACACTTAAAGGTAAAGGCCACACAGACCTTTGCTACAAAATAACACGTTGCACATTTTATTTTTTATTTTATTTTTTTTTTCTTCTTCTTCTTCTTCCTTCTTTTTACCTTTCCATTTGTAAGACTTAATGTAACATTGTACATTTAAAAACTGACATCTGCTTGAACATTTTCAAGGTATTAATGGCTTTCGAGATGCTTAAATACCCGTTAGTTGAAAGGTTAGGTTAGATGTGGTTAGTAAAGTATATCTTGACCTATTGTTCAAAAGGATTACAAGTTACAATTAGAAGTGAACAAAATTAACTTTTTATTCAACTGAATTAATGTTTCTTTCCCAGGCTCAAAAATTCAGAGTTACCTTTGCTGACTCAGCGTTTATGGTCATCATTGCATTATTTTGCATTATTGTTGCAATTGATTGAAAACATAAAGTGAAATGATGATTCACTTTTAGACTCAGTTTTCCAAAAATAACAATAACAAGGAAAGTAAACGAGGGTCAATTTCAATGAGACTAGTGTCATTCAGGAACAAGTTTCATTGTGACAAACTATCGAGGGCATTTCATCAAGTGATTCCTGGGATATTAGAGTAATTTTATGAAAAAAAAGGTTTAGCCAAGTAGTTAAAATATGGAGATTTTGAGTTCAAATCCTGGTGAATTTGAAAGGTAAGGTACCGTAAGGTATGACTGGTAGAGAACGGAAATAAAATCTTTGAATTTGAATGACGACTCACAGTTTATATTATATTATCACCAAATTAGACTTGTTTTAACTGAAATTTAATGGACTTCAATTTGATATAATTTTTAAGTTAATTTGCTGTTCGATTAAAATGGTGCTAAGTTTAAGTGATCTCTAAGCTTAAATCTCATAGTTTCTTTTGTAAGTAATCATCCAAAACTAAGTTTCACAGGTGAATATGAATGGAGTAAGCGACTGAGCGATTATGGAATCAAATCTGTCTATCGAATTGGTGTCCTTATAGTCCACAACCCATCAAACACATTCATCAAATCACCATTATCATGTCCGAAAGCGATGAACAATTTGATGGATTTGGATGGTGGAAACCTTATGAAAAATTTATTGGAAATATGGCAGAAATACAGCATTTTTCGGCAATTTTAGTCGAGTTTTCATTCGATTTAGTCAAACCGACAGAGGGCGAGTTCATTGAAGATTTTTTGTCATAAGATTTAGTCAATATTCCAAAATGATTAGTCAAAACCCTTCTCTTGTTGGACACACAATTTAGAAGACAATTTAAATTGCAAAATCAAGTTGAGTAGCGCAATTAGTTTCAATTCATTTTTGCATTTTAGAGAAAGTCTGCTTCCCTTAAACAATCATTGCTAGTTCAGATTGTGCTTCTCGACTTATACAAGTGAGTGGTTGACAATTTGTTGGACAATTTTGTTGAGAAAAGTCTCTTTAAAAAGTGATTGTGAATGATTTGGTGGATCTCATTAGTTAAACTTGATTCTTAATAAGTTCTAGGTAGCTTGTCTACTTCCCTTGTAAGTTTAAAACTCGATTGACTCAAAGGTTAATCGGAAAATCCAAAAAATGGGTTCAATGGAAGTTGATAAATCTTGACTAAAGTTGATCTTTTCAACCTTTTCCAACGGTTATTTAGCAAAAGTTTAATCTTTTTCCCCCAGACTTAAAGTCTGACCAAAAGTTTAACTTGCAGTCATCATCGGGTTATTTTGCATTGTTATTTTGACAAATAATTGATGAAACCTAAAGCGCATTTGATCAAAAATGGCGATTACTTTGTTGACTGAAACATTTTATTTTGCATTATTATTGTGAAAACAAATTGATGAAAGCTGAAAAGTTTCGAGTTTTGTAAAAAAAGTATTTCATTTATACTTGAATGGATCAACACTTGCAGTTGATGTTTAGCATCATTGTTGTACCTTATCGTAAGGTTATGATTCACAGTTATGAAAGTTATCTGACTGTTTCCTTTCAGGGTCAAATGAGCATCATGATTATTGATAAAGTAAACATCGACCATGACAGTGACAATGAGAGAGACTAATGGAGTGTTGAACAAGAAATAATATCAAATTATTTAAGCAACATGAACACGCGTTGAACGTGCGCACAAGTTAATCGATATATCGATGGAAATGATTTAATATTAGTTGCATTTTGCCGATAAAATCATGTTATTATTGTTATTATTTTTATACTTATAGAGAGAGAAATAGAAAAGAGAAAAAAAGCAAAAGAAGTTGATTTATTTCTGCAAATGTTTTGGTAACTCGTTTACACAGATTAATCGAGACAATCATTGATTAACTTGATTGCAGACACAGCATTGCTCAACAAATAATATCAAGTTAATCAATTGTTGTAGCCAAATGTATTACATCCATTTAACCAGTAAATACATTTACTAATCAAGAGTGAAGAGGGAAAAACAAAATCATCATCAAATCATTCTTGAGCTTGAATCAGCAAAAGAAACTGATGGCGAAGAAGAAAAAAAATGATTCAGAATTATTAAGACATTAGTTAAGCATCATCATCATCTGGTGATGATAAAGGAAATGAATGGTCAAACCAATTGTTACCATGGACAATTTATGGCCATTTACCTGAGCAAATGATTAGTTGCGTGATCATGTTTGCCTTTAATTTTTGGCCTTTTGTTTAAACAAATCAAATCATTTCAATTGTTTATCAAGCTAATTGATTAATATTCATTGACGCCTACAATTTGGGTTAAAGTATCGACTTTACCCAAAAATTGAAACCTAAAGTCGAGTAGAGACAAATAATAATGGTAATCATAATGATAATCATGATAAAGCTTTGAATGTCGTTGAACTTATTTGTTTAGTTTTATCAAGCTTGACAGTAACATGTAATAAGAAACATTAGTTAACCTGTTATTATCTTAATTTAATTGTAAATCAATTGTTTATTGTGTTGATTAAAAAGCTGGTTTAAAAAAAGGTTTCCTCAAATATAATTAAAATTTAGGTAAAAATAATGAAAATCTGGTAAAAGTGAACCTTTGCTTGTTGACAAATGGTTAAGATAAACAATCAACCAAATCACTTTACGAGGGTTGATCAGTGAACCATTTAAACCAGAATAGTCCTGGTTTTAACAAGAATAGTGTTTGGGGGTGGAAATGATGAGAAGGAGGTGGATGATGATGAGGAAGACAGAGAGAGATATACCTTAGCAATTTGATTCAATTTAATGATTAGGATAAATTAATAATCAACAATGAAAACTGTGCACAGTTAATATTATATAGTTACTGTTATATTGTGACACATTGAAGCGGAAATGATTGAATTGTGATAAATAAGAGACTAGAGAGAGATGAAGATGAAGATGGTGATGATGATGATGATGATGATGAAAGGCAAAGGACAAAAGATCTTTGCTTAGACTTATAATCATTTTAAACAATTTACTTTGCTTCAGATCATTTATTTGTTTCCCTTGTTATCAGCTTAATACTGTTGATTGTTGTGCTCGCATTGGGTTACTTTTGCCTGGTTCACTCACTAACTCAACCTTTACTCATTCTCACTCTGTTTTTGACTCACTTTCAAGATGAGAATCTCTCTCTGTGTCTCTCTCTCATCCTCAGCCTTCAGGCCAACATCCCGACTAGAGTAAGCATCAACATCACTTGGGACTTACTAATGCTTGCTTCTATATAATATAATTTATATATAACATAATAAAGTCTAACAACAATCGATCGATAGAGAACATTAAAAAGGTCCGATAATCGATTTTTTCATCATCATCATCATTCTCTTCTTCATCTTCTTCTTCCTTTACTCTCTGTCTTTCAAGCTCACTTTTAGCATTCATTATTTTTGTTGGAACCAATTTCAATAGAAACGATCGATAATCGTTTCTTTTTACAAAGTAAAAGGCGATTCAGTTTAATCTTGACTTTTTTTATTCTTTTTTCTTCTTCATCATCATCTCTCTCTCTCTCTCATCCATTGCTCACTGTTTCTGTAACAAATAATATGAATCCAAATTGAAATCCATGAATCACTTTTTATGGTTGAACCAGAATGAAATATTAATGTTTGACAGAAAAAGTAAGCGCCATTTTCAAGAGTAACTTGAGTAAAGGGGTAAACCTAAACCTTTTCATCTTCCACCCTCTTCTTTATCCCACCCACTTTCTTCATCCCAACAGTCATCATCACATTGATCATCCATGTAAATTTTGCAGCCATTTTGCTTTTTCCTCTTCCTTAAGTAATAAACTATTAAACTGTTTGCTTATTACATTTTGTTTGTCACTATAATTGAACTTGTTTTTGTTGTGATTTTTACATTAGATTGATGAAAATGATGATAATGTTGAGGAACGAAGAAAAGAGGCAAAAAAATTGATTTGAAATGTGATCAGAATTGTAAACTGATTGTTATCAATAAACCAATTGTTCAGTAGCAAGAAAAAAAAGAGAGAATCAACAAAATTGACAAAAAAATAGAATCGAGCTGAAACTAATTTCAATTGTGACAATAGCAACTTT